AATTATCCATTACAATTTTAAATGAGTTACATAAGCATAATACCTCAAACAAGAATAGAAATATATATATATATATATATATATAGTATAACAAAATTAATTTTAAGTTTGTATCAATAAACTAAAATTTATTTAGTTTATTTATTTAAATAAACTAAAATTGTTTATACCAATGTAAAACATTTTAAACATAAACTAAAATCTATACCAATGTAAAACATTTTAAACAAGTTGTTCTATCAAAAGGCAAGCAATACAGGCTAGCAAGATGTCTTAGCTCCTAAGAGCACTGGCTGCTCTTCCAGAGGACCCGGGTGTAGCCCCATGGGACGGTACATGTAAGCACCCACATGGCAGCTTACAATCATCTGTAACACTACTCGGGGGATCCAATGTGCTCTTCCGGCCTCCCCAGGCATTGCACACACATGGTGCACAGACATATATGCAGACAAAACATCCTTATGTATAAAAGTGAAATGAACCTTACACTAACTTTTTTTTAATCCGAAGACACCCCCCCCCTCGCCTTTTTGAAACAGGTCTTGTATATCCCAGGCTGGTATTGAACTGGATACACAACCTGCCTTCACCTCGTGCTTTCTGGGATTACAGGTGTGTGCTAACACAAACCATTTATGTGGAGCTGGGAATGGAACCCAGGACCTTGCACTCAGCGAGGTCTGTCCAAGGTCCCTAGATCCGTAAGTGTTTTGAATTCAGGCTTCTAAGGCTCAACTCTGTGCTTGTCTTAGTATGGGTTCACCTCAGTGACCCTTGAGGCAGGCCTCTTAAAGACCACACAGAGAACAAGGCAGAGCTCCTTGGGCTACTTTAACCCTACTTTAGAGACTTAATTGGCTTTACCTGTGGTTCTAGATGCAGCCAGTACTTCATTCAGTCGAATAAAATGTGTGTCAATGAGCCAAGCAGTAGTTTAGTTTTATGGATATAAAAGAACTGAAGAAAAAGAAAAAGAAGAAGAAGAGGAGGAGGAGGGAGAGGAGGAGGAAAAGGAGGAAGAGGGAGAGGAGGAGGAGGGAGAGGAGGAGGAAAAGGAGGAAGAGGGAGAGGAGGAGGAGGGAGAGGAGGAGGAGGAAAAGGAGGAGGAGGGTGCGGGAGGACGGAAGGAGCAGGAGGCAGAGCATGATGAGCAGCAGAGTATATTAGTCACCTCAAAGCTGCTTCCCTGGTAAGGGGGAGTGCAGAGAGATAAATTGATAGAAAAAAATTAACTGATTAGAAGGTGACTCTCCTCCCCACCCCCCCACCCCCCACCGGAAGTCCAGATAACAACTTGGTTTTGGCTTTGATGGTTCAGTTTGATTCTGATTTTCCTCTGGTCTGTTGGATCTGCCCAGGGCTTAGTCCGAAACAGTGGCCTCCTGTGGTGTTCATGTAACAATCCCGGCTCTGCTTCCCTTTCCCGGTTCTCTCACAGAGCTTCCTCTGATCACTGACTCCTTGTTCTCAAACCTTTGCCCCAGCGCCTGCCTACCGTCTGCGGTGGGGGATTAAAGCTGAGGCGGTGAGCATGGAAAGCCTGTCTCCAGCAGGAAAACATAAGCTATGCTAGCTGAAACCCCGGCTCCTCTGTAAGTTCAGCCACGGGTGACAGCAAAAAGTGTCAGCAGCTTCCGTTTACTGACAGCCTCCTTGATAGGGAGCGCGACACCAGCACTTTGCCCAGCACCCAGTTAGAGGCAGTCTTGGGGGGAACATGGTGCTCTCTTATCTTCCAGTGGAGGAAATGAAGATACTGAGGCAAAGTCACGGAACTTGTGCATGCCAGAGTTGATATATGACCTTAGGAATTCGGTTCCTGAGCCTGAGCTCTTGACTTTACAAATGATTGCCTACCAAACAAGCGAAACACAGCTCTTTGTGTGGTTTTGAGAGGCCTCTGGGGGATGGCGGAGGTGGTAAAGACAGACATAGAGTTAAGAGTTAGAAGCCTAAATTCAAGCTACCTGCAACCCCAAGGACCGTGAACAAACCATTTCTCTGCTCTTAGCTTAGACTTTGTTTCTAACTCCGGGTGGAGGAGAGGTGGTAAGAAACAATGTAGACTCATGGGGATTGAGTGGGGGTGTGAGGCTCCTAATGAAATGTAGCCCCAGACGCACTTCGGAAACTAAACACGGAGGGTTCAGATGCTATAGGCAAGAATACACCACAGCTTCCCACCACCCTTCTCCGGGAAGATGTGAGTGAAGGAGCTCGGTGCCGTTTGCCTGGTACGCGTTTGCACGGTCCGTTCATGTTTATAGGTTTTATGATGATGGAATTTAGGACTCCGACAGCTCCAGTTTTACTTCTGGGTTATGTGTGTGAACCTTGGGCAGGTCATTTAATTGCCCCAAGACTTAGGTCTCTCGTCTGTGAAATGGGGATACTAACACAAGACTACATAAAGAGTTCAGAGGTGCACTCAATGTGTTTATTGAAGCCCACTACTTTCGTGGTCAAAGTAAGTCGTCTTTGTTATTACTATTGATTTTAGGACGGAAAAAAAAAAGTCAGCCCCACTCAAAGATGTAGAAAGAGAAAATGGAATCCACCGTCTTCAGTATCTCTGCCTGCTCCAGTTCACCACAGCGTTCCTATTTACATTCAAACCCCACACATCTTACCAAAGGAGAAGATAAAGCTGATGGAAGCCATCATGGACCATCCTACCAGCATCAAAATATATCTACAGCAGTGGATGCATAGAGACACTGCACTTACAAACAACAGCAGATACTCCCAAATCTCAGGATCAAACAGAACAGTGTGTGCCGGTGTGGGGTTGTGGGGTAATGTCGTGAACCGGAGAAGAGACGGGGAGACTAGGTAGCGTCTGCTGAGCGCCAGGCAGGGACTGTGAAAGCAGTCCATTCCAGGGTAGAAGGAAGCAGGGAGAGGTGGAGAGGCCTGAGCAGCCAGCCTCCTACACAGCAGCGGGGGGTTGATAAGCTGATTCCCCACGGGTCCTGCACAGGGCCTCATGGGAAGGAACCTTCTGGGTCCCCGGAACCCGCAATACTTAGGACGGTCTTAAGTGCCTCTTGGAAGCTCAGCGGCTTGTTAACTTGTCACACGTAAAGGCAGGAGAGAGGCCTGACATTTTTCTGACGCCTGGAAGCGAAAGAAGAAAAGCTTCTGACACTCAGGGCCACATCCTGAACGACAGGGGTCAGTGTGTGCAACCGATCCGTGTGGGCGCAGGCTTCTAATTATTTCCTGGATAACCTGTTATCTATTATCCATCAGGCTCCTTGCCAGAATATGCAGACGTCTCCTGAGACCTTCGAGTTCCTGCTCTTAAAGGGGACGCAGACAGCTGGACAGCCACTGGCGAAAGGCTGTCCTCCCTTGCCTCTGCCTAAGCTAGGGAGCAAAGGCTGGGGGCCCCAAGCCTGGGCGGGGGGCGGGGGGGGGGAACGACGACGAATAAATCATGAGTTCCTTAGGACTCCCTCCCTCAAGCTCCTCAGAGAGACTTGGCTGTATCAGAAACGTCTGGAAAATTTTCTGAGAGGGATGTGTTTTCTTGGGCTGCAGTCATTTGCTTGACAAACAGCGAAACTCTTCAAATAACCTTCTGCTGGGAGTCAGGGAAGGGAGGATGTCAGAATTCGACGGTCTGTATTGTGGATCCAGGGCAGACCCTGGCTAGCACCCAGATGAACCCCGTATCATCCACTATCAGTCACACCCTGGCCTATATTTGTACTAAGGCACAATGAAATGTCACCCAGTGGGAGGGGACCACAAGTATGGGACATTGTTCTATTTTCTAAAGATAGCACATGTTCATTTATTTAAAAATTTAGAAAGTCCAGAAAGGAAAAAAAAAAAGACTCACAGTTGATTTCTCTGAGGTTGGGCTGTCATTGTTAACATTTTGGAGTATCGGGTACTCCCTCCTACCACGTTAATTTATACCAACCCGTGAAATCCAGGGCTTTTTAGTTAAAAATACAATGCTTCCCTTTCATTCTTTGGAGGCATGGGGAGGGTAATGTGTCATTTAGCACTGGAGTTTGAGGTCAGAGCTCTGTCTGGAACAAGGCCCATGTTGCCAGGCTAAGGGTGAGCAGGGCTCACTGACCAGCAGGGTCTGGGATGGCTCAAGTCCAGGCCCTTTGGTTTCAAGCAGAGCAGGAGGGTTGAAAGAGGTTATTCTGGTTATCAAAAGCCAGCAGACATGGAACTAGCCCTCCGTGGAAGCTTCTAGAAAACTAGAACAAGGTGGGACAGGGGTTTCAAAGGTTCAGAAATCTGCTGAAGAAGGGCAGTTGAGGTAATCAGTTAGTAGATGGTCCCAGATTTCTACTTTGAAGCAAATTCCAGACCAGAGCTCAGGCATGGAAAACCAAGGAGAACATTCAGCAGAGAAGTTGGGCCGGGGAGGCTGAGGTGGTTGGAATTTGCCTAGCAGAATGTAAGGGAGGCAGGATTGACACAAGATGGCTGGAAGGTCTGACAGGAAGATTCTGCTGAGCACCAGGCCCCGGATGTGTGCAGGATCGAGGGGAAAGTCTCCGAGAGACTGCATAAAAAACAGTTCTAGGGGCACTTATGAAAGTCACACTTTTAAAGATTAGGTCCTGATGTGTTTAAAGATTTGTCTTATTATGCATATGAATGTTTTCCCTGCATGTTTGCATGGATACCACTTGCATGCCTGGTACCTTGCAAAGGTAAGAGAGGGTAACAAGTCCCTGGAACTGGAGTTACAGACTCTTGTGCATCACCATGTGGAGGCTGGGAATCAAACCAGCGTCCTCTGCAAGAGCAGTGAGGGATCTTAACCACGGAGCGCTCTCCCTGGTCCTAAATAAGTTTCTATGAACAGAAGGAATAGCAATGTTTGTTAAACAAGGCATTGAATTATGGAGGCAAAACCTGTGGCTTACAGGAGTCTTTCATACTTGTGCAGACTCCTGGAGGGGCCCCTAGGATGTCTGTGTAGGTAGAATTGATTAGCGTGTATCATCATTAGAAAGAAGAGTGAGAACTTTCTACAGTATTTATCTTTTTAATTCGTTTAAGAACAGCAGCAAACCTACTGCATGCCAATGCCGTAACATTCTTGGTTTAGACTGTATCACTACGCAACCTAGGCTTCCTCAAACTTGTCATCCTCCTGCCTCAGTCTCTTAAGTGTTGGAGTTACAGGGTGTGCACCCCTATGCCCAGCACTAATAACACAGTTTAAATAGATGAGAAATAACAATATGTACACATTTTAATGAGAATAGCGACACCGATAGTTTTGCAAATCTCTTTAACGTCTGGTTTAATAGAGCAGCTGAATAATCATATCTGTGTTTGTATTCAATACATTGGGACATGTAGTTTCAATAGAAGTATATGAAGAAAAAAATTAGTGTTGATCCCACTGGGCGAGAATAAGACCATTACCACAATTTTTGAGCCAAATTTGAAGCAAGCTTTGTTAAATACTGGCCGGGATGATAGACAGTGGCCTGATCCATACTCGGGATTCCCAGAGAATGGCCAGAATTATGTTAGTTGGGTGCTTATAAAGGCAAAACCCACAAGGCTACATACTTCCCTGCCTTTGTCCAATCAGGGGAAAGCATACATCCTGACATGCATACCTCCCACCTAGGTGCGATTAAATACATTCTGTGCAGTCATGGCAACCGACCTTGTTTATAGAGGTGAAAACATGTGGCTTGTTATCTTACACAACAGCCCCCAGCATTCCAGGAAGTCATCTCTCCTTGGGCGAGTGGGGCTGACCGGTGAGAGACATTTTGTTTTATAGCTCTCTTAAGCGCAGTCATTTAAACTTATAGCTCTCATACTAGTCTCACCCAGATCTGTAATGAGGAAAATTAGGATAAACAGGGCCTGGGGAGACAGTTCACTGTGTAAGAGCGCTCACCGCGCAAGCATGGAGACCTGAGTTCTAGTCCCAGTGCCCACATAGAAGGAATGCACGGCCAGATGTGCCTGTAACCCCAGGACAGCAGGGTGGAGCCAGGCAGATGCTGGGGAGCTGCCAGCATAAATGTAGTTTCAGGTTCAGTGAGGACCCCATGTTGAGGGAATACGATGGAGAACAATAAAAAATGATACCTGCTGTCTTCTTCTGGCCTTTGCACACAGAGATACACACATATGTATACAACACACACACACACACACACACACACACACACACTAAAAAATAAAAAGGGAAAGGGAGAGATATTTTAATAGCCTTTTCTGATATTTCTGAGTTTCCTTTTGATACCACATGAAAACAGAACATGTGGTAGTTTATTCTTAAGACTAATCATTGCAAGGAGTCTGAAGCCATGTCTAAAAAAGATTTTAAAATATCTGTGACATCAAAGCCTCTTAGCCTCTCTTCCACTTTGAGTCCATTTTTACCTCTGTATTATTTTGTAATCCCACATATGAGTCCTTAGAAAATATCAATGACTGCATAATACAGTTATTCTGAATTTTGACACATTTCTTATGTATTATTAAAATCGCATTTGTTAATATTTGTTGTGAGATAGTTGTACACTGTGTGAAGGTGTATTGCTGTGATTGTGAAATGAAAAGATGAATGGCCAATCGCTAGACAGGAGGTATAGGCGGGACTTCTGGGCAAAGAGAGGACACAGGAGGAAGAATCTAGGCACCCTTGAGAGAGACCCAAGAACATGGGGAGAGGAAGTGGAAGGTGCAAGATGGAAGAGAGGTAAGGCCACGTGGCAGAATGCAGATTAAAAAATATGGGTTAATTTAAGTTATATGAGCTAGTTGAGACAAACTTAAGCTAAAAGCCAAGCTTCCATAATTCATTAAGTTTCTGTGTCATTATTTGGTGGTACAGAGAAAGACTTGTTACAAATATTGCCACCAGTTTTAGTATAAAATCTTTTTTATTTTTAACATTTTTATTTTCTATTGCTTGAGAGTTTCATACATGTATAGAGCAAGTTTTAGTCATTTGTACCCTCTGTTACTCTCTCTCATTCCCTACTTCTTCCCCACTATAAACTCCCTCTTTCCAACAAATCCATGTCTTTTGGGTGTGGCCCACTGAGCTTAACTGGGTTTCTTGCATGAACCTAGTTGGGAGGTTACTTGCTGGGCAACTTCTCAGTGTCTACACCACTGAAGGAAGTGACTCCTCTTCTTTCCTCAGCCACCACTCATGGTCAGACAAAAGGATCAGAAAAGCCTCTCAGGATTAGGAACGGTCATGCTCAGAATGGCAGGGGCGCATCTCCCAAATATCTAACTTTAGTTTGAAAACTCACATTTCATCATTGATAGCAAGCTGTCTTAGTTGTTTCCTCAAAGCCATAGGGGCTCACTTTATTCATTCTCAAGACAATGTTTGCTGAATGACTAAGTCTGAAGAGCCATAGTTATCTTTCAATGATTTTTTTTTTCATTTGAAACATGTATTCATTGAAAAAAAAAAATAGTAGAAGGGCTAGGCATGGTATCACATACCTGTGTTCCAGTGCTTGGGAGGTAGAGACAGGAGGATTAGGACTTCAAGGTTAGCCTTGGTTGCGTGTAAAATTTGAAGCCAGTCTGGGCTACAGGAGACTCTGCCTGAAAACAATGAAGAAAGAAACAGAGAAAGAGGAAGTGGTTAACTAGTGTAATTAACAACCAAACCGCTGCACACATTTTGTGCCTTCAGACCATCATCGGATCTTCAACACAACAGAGATACTTCTCACATAATCCTGAGATTCCTAGATGATATACCCATAATGAGTGAGATTTAATAAAGTTAATAACTTTACTGCTTCATCAAGGATATCCTGATGGTGTGCACTTGGATTGATTTCCTTGAAAACGCATGGTAGCAAAAACATACACAGTGACCAAGAGAAGCTTGTCGGAGGGGTTTGGTGGGAACGCCCTTGCCTAGCATGCATGAGGCCTAAGGTTCAGTTTCTAAACACACAAATAAAACTAGTTCTGAACAACCTTTTTCGTGCTTTGTATTTTCTGAGGATGGGGTGGGTTTATGTAGCTTTGGTTGTTCCAGAACTCTCAATGTAGACCAGGCTGGCCTCGAACTCAGATATCCTCTAGCCTTTTAGCCTCTGGAGTGCGGGCATCAAAGGCATGTGCCATCATGCCTAGCAAAGTTTTTTTGTGCTAAAGTGTCAATAGGTTTGCTTTGCATTGCCTTTGTACTGCTCTTTTGCAAATTCCATATCACAAAAAAGAAAAATAATTCCTATTATTATTACAAAATATTTTGACCTCTTCAACTTCAGCAAAGCTTCAAGGATTCTCTCTCACAGATCAACTGATCCTCTTCCTCTTCTCTCTCTCTCT